GAGACAAAATATTTTGCCTAAAACCACACAGCAGGTGCATGCTGGGGATTATCTGTACCCAGACTCCCCCAGGGTCCAAACCCACTTTCTTACACCACCATGCCAACACCACCATTCCTACAGGTTGAACTGTGTCCTCAGCAAATTGATATGCTGACCTCTGGACCCCGTGTCCCCCAGAACAATGAGACAATACAGTCAATACATTTCAGTTGTTTCATTCACCCCCACCTCCAGCAGCCCTATCAAACTAATACAATCACCTGTCCCAGGAAGTCCTCCTCCACCCAGGCCTCAGTTTCCCCAGCAACGCTTGTGTAAATCCTGGGGTCACTTCAGTGCCCCTGTGTGGCCAGCAGGATGGAGAGCGCGGACACAGGGGCGAGGAGGAGGGGAGCTGGCTGGGCCGTTCACAGCCGCCGGCCTGCACCACTGCCTCTGCTCCCCTAGATGGCCGCCCGCTCGCTCGCTCAGGCACAAATGCTCTTGCTCTTTTGTGAAGCTGGCTTCTGGGCGAACGCGGAGCCTTCATTTATGAGCCCAGCAGGGAAGTGAACGGAGGGAACGACAGAGTGGAGGCCCCGCGTCAACTGCAGCCGCCCCCAGCCCGGCCCGGCCAGGCACAGAATCCCCAGGAAAAATCATAGCGTGTGCTGCTCACGATGAGTCATCGCAGGGGAAGCAGCTGTGTTGATGAAATTTTAAAGCCGACATGAGAAAGAAAATACGAACTGCAATACAGTAATTTAGCTTGTGAACACTCTGGCACATTTTTAATTAAAGCTATTTTGGAGTTAAATAGAGGCCGTGGCGGGAGGGGTGGGCAGTGGGGGACGGGAAGCCGCGGAGGTCCTCTACCCTGCCACCAAAAACCCCAAAGCCACGTCACCTGAAGACAGTTAAAAGAATAATAATTGCTTTCTCCTGCTTTTTGCCAAAACGCAGATTTTCCACTTTGTACAGAGCTAGTGGTGTCTGTGTAATTTGATTGCACTGACAAGACGTAGGTGCCAGAATCATGAAGTCTCACAAGCCACAGCCTACGAGGCCGAGGCCAGAATCCCATCCCGGCAGCAGTCTCCTTCAGTACTCCCCAACATGATCGTCCATTCCCCTCTCCATCCGTCCACACTTGATCACCTCCCAAGATGACACAGTCGCTACCCTAGAAAGAGCTTTCCTTTGGTTAGGCAGACCTTCCTTATTCTGGGCAAGAACCAGCCTCCTTCTTGGCCTAGGAGACTAGTTGGGGTGCGGTCAGGGCTCCTCAACATGTTCCCACCAGGTCCAGCTGGGCACGGGAGATGCAGCTGTGACCACTGACACTCTGCAGCCCAGTCCTTGAGTGGCTGACAGGCCAGCAGGAGTCAGGGCCAGTCCCCACCAGGGAAAACCCCAACGTTCCATCAGCAAGAGAGGGCAGCCCACAGGGCGGGCAGACAGAGCAAGCGCTGGGCCACCTGGGGCAACTGGGGACCAGAGCTCTCTTCCTGAGCCGAGCCTTGCCCACGGAGTTCTCCCCACCTCCGCTGTCCTCCAGCAGTGCCCTACCTGGGAGCCTACTGGCCAGGACAAGCGTGAGGCAGCCCCCTGAGGGCTGCCTGGTCACCCGTGTACCCCCAGACCACGCACACAGCAGGTGATCAATTACATACTGAGTGAATAAGTGAGCGCCCACTTTACAGGTGAGTAAATGGAGACCTGGAGAGAGAAAGTGGCTTGAGGGTCCTCAAAGTTCTTGCCATGCAAGCCACCCCAGGAATCCAAAGGCAAACAAGGTGGCTCTTGCTGCCAGGAAGCCCTGAGCAGGCCAGGGAGGCCCTTCTCTCACCACCGTTTCTCATTCCTCTTGTGTGGCTCAGAACAGCAATACCCTCCTCCAGGGCTAGCAGCACCCACCCACCCTCAAGGCCCAGCCCTGGCGGCAGCAGGTGACAGGGGCAGCAGAGCCCCATCCATGCCCCTAGAGATGCCCTGCCAACACCCCGGCCCCTGGGTGCTTTCGCAGTCTGTAGGTAGCAGCCCTCAGCTGAAGCAAGGGGACCAGGGCAGGCGGGCATGCAATGCACTGGGGGTGGTGGGCCAAGGCCCAGTGTCACACAGCTGCCCCCTTTTAGGGATGCTGGTGTGGCTCTGACACCTGCTCACTGGGAGACCCTGGGCAAGACCCCCACCCACCAGCAGAGTCCTTGTGAGGAAGAGACAAGGGATGGGACCTGGGTGCCCCAGCCCCATGACACTCACAAGCACGCATGGCTGTCACCAGAGCAGCCCAGCTTCACAGGCTTCATTTAGGGAGAAAGAAAAGTTCTCCTAAGGAAATAAGAAACTTGGGACATTGCCACACTGGATGGGCTCAGTTCCCAGAACTTCTCCTGCCCTAGCACTGAGCCAGGCAAAAGCCCATTCTAACCGCCTGCAGCC